AAAAAATTTGTACAGAATTTTCATTTATCTGGGATACCTGCATACAAAACTCGATCAATATGGAAAATTGCAAATGACTTTTTAATTTATTTTACAGAGAAATTGAAATAACAGGTGAACAATTGAAACAGTAACAAAATTTAGAGAGATATTTTTATCTCTAGCACCACTCATGAGCTCAATTTTTCTGGTTTTTTCATTGTATGCTTCAGATATCTATTTCACAAATTTGAGGTTTTTTTCTGAGGATGCCACTTATACCAATGAACCTCAAGGGCTTAGAGTGGTGTGAACTTCCTATGGTAATGTTAGATCTACACTATAATTTCTAATAATTAGCATAAATTATGGTGACCATGGTCGACATTTATCAATGCACAATTTCCATCACTCTTACAAAAGCCCTTTCATATAAAAAAGAAAGAATGCCCTAGAGTCAAGCTTGACCCATAGTGATTTCATGGATGTATCCACACAATTTCCATGTTCATAATAATAACGTGATTTGCCATTATCTTCCTCCAGTGTGATTCCCAACCTCCCAATTTAGACTCTAGTCCTGGTATTTCCTGATGAAATACTGTACAAGTACTAATTAGGTCTGACTCTGCTTAAATTCCAAGTCCAGTCAAGGTATTGCTACTGAAGATATTTCAAATATGACCTGTCAAAAGATTCATAATGTATATGAAGTTTAGGTTTTCAGTGAAAAGTTATCAGAAGTAACTTTTACTTCCTCCTTCATACAGACTAAATTAGATAGGAATTAATCTAGAGATGCCATTTGAATCTCACCAATAGAATTTGTTGCAACAGAACAGTTCAATTTATGCTTTTCTGACTATGGTTAAGGTGATAAGTAGTTGTATTTCCTTCAATTACATATAAAACTGCATTTATATTCTATAAGAAAGAAGAAAATATTCTCATAGAACAAATTCTTGATTATAACAGAGCTGTATGTAATTAGTAAAATTTCAAACACATCACCCCAAAAATTCATTAAAGTCCAGGAAAAACAAGGAATTAAACATTTTCGTAATGATATGGGTTTCATTTGGAAGCCTTAGGCAGATGACCTTTTAAATTAAAAGGGCTTATATAAAAATGTTTGGGTTTGAATTGTCAATCAGGGACTAAAGCCCATTCTCCAATGCAGCCCTTGCAATCTCTAGTTATACTATAGTATGAAAAAACCATAAACATGTTTACAACTACATTAAAAAGAATTATGCATGACTATGATTTACATTTTGTTTTCCTCCTTGTGGTCAGATGAATGAAAAGCAATCTTGATACTTAGCCACATGATGGTGCTCTTGTACTATTTTCCTTGCTTATTCAGATTTTTATCAAGGGAGAGCCAGTTCAGTTCTTTGACTTGCATAATGGAGGCTGAGCTCCAAAAAGTTGATGGGGCCATGGCAACATTACATATATTTTAAAATACATTACAGCTAGTCCTCACTTAACATCTTGTTCAGGAACCATTCAAAGTTATAATAGGGGAGACATGATAGTAGTGTTCCAATATCTCAGGGGTTGCCACAAAGAAGAGGGAGTCAAACTATTTCCCAAGGCACCTGAGGGTAGAACAAGAAGCAATGGGTGGAAACTAATCAAGGAGAGAAGCAACTTAGAACTGAGGAGAAATTTCCTGACAGTTAGAACAATTAATCAGTGGAACAGCTTGCCTCCAGAAGTTGTGAATGCCCCAACACTGGAAGTCTTTAAGAAGATGTTGGATAGCCACTTGTCTGAAACTGTATAGGGTTTCCTGCCTAGGCAGGGGGTTGGACTAGAAGACCTCCAAGGTCCTTTCCAACTCTGCTATTGTATTGTACTGTACAACCATGCTGAATAATGATACTTATGACCGCTCCTTGAAATTGTGGTTCTCACCGCATCCCTGTAAGTCACATGATCTTGATTCAGTCGCTTGGCAACTGGGATGCATTTGCAACAGTCATAGCATCCCATGGTCACATAATCACCATTTGTGATCTTTACAATCAATGAGCAAAGTTAGTAGGGAATCCAGCAGGAAGTCAGAAGTCATGGTCATATGACATCATGCTTAACAACCCACAGTAATTCGTTTAACTGCAGTTGGAACCGACTACTGTTCTAAGTCAGGCACATCGCATGAGTTACCAATTTCAGCCACTTCGTTTAGAAACAGGGTTGCCAATTCCAATCATGGTTGGTGAGGATTACCTGCACACTATGTACCGAAGCTTTTTCTCTTAGGTGATTATGAAATATTAAAAATTCAATTTAAAATTCAACTGTAATGGAATGGCTGCATATTCACAATCTTGTTTACACCTCTTTTCAAGTAATTTTATACAATACTTTTATAAAATGGAAAAAAAGCTGTGATTTTGTTTTTATTTATTTATTTGTATACCGCCTTTACTATTTTTACAAATAACTCAGGGCGATGAACACATCCAGCACACCTTCCTCTTCTTTTCCCCACACCACCCTTATGAGGTAGGCTGGGCTGAGAGAGAGTGAGTGGCCCAAAGTTACACAGCTGGCCTTCATGGCGAAGGTGGGACTTGAACTTCGTCACCTGTTTCCTAGCCTGGTGCTTTAACCACTAGACAAACTGGTTCAAATATGTATTTTATATGGTTCTGAATTATGAACTGATTATTGGGGATTTAGCATGTTCAGAACAAGGATGGGTTTTTAATGCTATTAACAATAAAAGAAATAATTCTTGGATGGAAAAATACTTTATTTTCAGATATAAAGGACTAGATATCAGAGAAATGTGATTTAGCAATTTCTTTTGGTCCTCTGCATGCAGTGTTCCTTATCTAGTGATTTCTATTCAGGTAAAACATTTCCTGTAGAAAATATGTCCAACTAGCCAGTCTAGGTAAGTAATCATACTTTATTCCAGATGAAATGGTTTAGTTTAATATCGTCTACTCTGATTTGCAGGCGCTCCAAGGCATCACCTGGATTTCAGGTGGGATCCCTCCCATCACCTGCCACTGATTTTTTTTTAAGCTAGAAGATATCAAAGCTTGAATTTGGAACTCTGCATACAAAACAGATATAGATGTAATGCATGACGGTTACTCTCTCACAGTACTGTTGCTTATAATGGGTCCTTCACCATAATTCAATTAGTCAGAAGAATCTATTACTTGTCTCACATATATGAACATCAAACTCCTTCCTACGCATGACATGCTGCCATTCAACATGGGTGGCTTCACTGTCAGATGCTTTGATCAGTACTCCCATTCATGTCACTTAACTGTGCACTTAAAACCTAAAGGAGCAAGGGAAAGAGAAGCAATTGTTAACAAACTCATGTCCCACACAGACACATTTTTGAATAGAAGAACAGCTCTCTTCCTCATGTCAAGAGTCAAGTTAGGAGACCCTTGGTTCTCCAGACATTTTAACAGCAGCTGGGGGGGGGGGGAGAATGGCACATGATGCAATAAAATTCCTTATTGATTCCATAAATCAAATCCCCCTTTTAAGACTTGAATTTTTTTGCAGAGGTAAAAATGTATGCAATATTTTCTCTGTCAAGCTATACCTCACACTTGGTTGTATACTTGCTTAATTATATTGTCAGTACATAAACTCTAGCAGTGCTGTATAATTAAATCTTGTCATTTGCTAGTAGCCATGAAGTACTTACGAAAAAAAGTTATAAACTCATAATATGGCCATGTTTCTGCTTTTATTAGAACAAAACCTAATGAACAAACTTCTGAGTTTTCTGGCTAGAGTGTTAAACCACTGAGAAAATACAGGTAAGAGATAAAGGAGGAGGTCTTTGCTTTCAGCTGCCCTAAATGTTAGCGATACTGATCACAGAAAATAATACATTTGCCTTTTATCTCATCATAGATATCAATGTCTAGGATCATTTTAACATTTATATTTTATTGGGTTCTACTAATTTAGACTAAATGTTAATATCTATATTGCTAGTCCATGTATGATATTGCCATATACTAAATAAATAAATAGATGATCACATATGTTAATTAGCTTCCCAATGTTAGCATATTTCATTTGTATGATTTCCCCCCCAATCCTGGTATCTTGAAATGACACAGCGTTTCTTAAACTTGGCAACTTTGAAACTTGTGGACTCCAAGTCCCAGAATTCCCCAACAAGCACGATTCCCATTTTTAAAAAAGCACTCCCATTTTCCTTTGGCAGAAAATAATGGGACCAGGGGGGCAATACATGATAGAATAAATTAGCATTTTCTTACCTATCTAATGCAGTGATGCAACTCAGCTGCTAGAACAATTAATCAGTGGAACAACTATCTCCAAAACTTGTCGCTGCTCCAACATTGGAACTTTTTTAAAGAGAACCATTTGTCTGAAATGGTAGGAGAATTCCTGTCTGAGCAGGGGCTTGGACTAGAAGACCTCTAAGGTCCCTTCCAACTTTGTTATTCTGTCATTTATTCTGTTACTTATAGCTCGGGGTTGAAATGATGATGTTATCTAGTTTGGTTAATGAAACGTCTGCAAGAAAACAAGTAAGCTCAGAGAGCACCAAGGACCGTCCCTCCCTTGTGTTTAAGCCACTTGCCAATTTGTACCCCTGAAACAGATCCTATTCATCGTTTGTTACAACCCAGGGAGCCCCAAACTCGGCAACTTTAAGACTTGTGGACTTCAACCCCCAGAATTCTCCAGCCAATGCTGGCTGGAGAATTCTGGGAGTTGAAGTCCACAAATCTTAAAGTTGCCAAGTTTGAAGACCTCTGACTACAACCAATCTTCTGCCGTTGTGCTGAAAACGTGGCGCTCCACTTTCCACCTTGCTCACCTTTAACTAAGGAAACCAGACTTCTTCCCTCGGTTCACCCCGCCCGCGCCTTTGTGACGTCAAAAGAGCGTCTTACTACAGTACCTACTGAGGCGGCTCATTTCTAAAACTAGATCGCACAGTCCAAGCTTAGTATCGCGAGACGTTAGTAAGGTGATTTCTCTCCACCACCCCCCCCCAACCCAACCCAACCCGGTGTTTCCTATATCTTCCTTAACTCAAAGCCTCCTGGATCTATGCAAGTTGGGGGCGGAGTCGTACGGGCAGGTTTGGCAGTGACGTGGGAGACAGCTCCCCCGCTCCTACCCGGGTCCTGCTGCTCTTACGGGAAGAGAAAAACGGGTAGGTGGGCGAGGAGCTGGAGGCAGAGGCTTCCGGTTAGGCAGTGGTTGAATGGCTGCATTTCTCTTGGGGGAAGAGCGTTGTCCTTCCTCTGGGAAGGGGCGATGATTGGGGGAAAGAGGGGTTCCCTATTGGGTTCGGCAGTAAATCCCCCCCCCCCGTTTGGCCACTGAAAACAGGTAACGTTTCTGGTCCACGGTCCTTTATGCAAGGTGACTCCTGTGCCTAAGATTGTCAATGGGGGGCGGAGGGGGGATGTGCCTAGCTTATTTATTTGTATATTTCATTGTGCTTTGCTGGGTGGGAGTGGGGTGGAAGAGGTGGGGGTGTAGAAAGATTGGGGAGACAGCCTTTTATACCCCTATACCTTGCAAAAGCCTATCCTATGAACATGTCAGCCCATGTCAATTTTGCAGCTTGGTGGCTAAGTTCAACTTTTTCTGGTCCTCAAAACTAACAATTGTTTATTAGATGTATGTCTTTCGTCCAGAAGCTCAGGGTGGGATATATAGATCTGCGTCTTCCATTTCCCCCCCTCTGCAAAGCTCCTTGAAGTAGGTTAGAGCAACTGGCCTAAAGTTATCCATTGAGTAGAATAGAATAAGAGAGTTGGAAGGGATCTTGGAGGTCTTCTAGCCCAAACCCCTGCCTTGGCAGGAAAATTTATACCATTTCAGACAAATGGTTATCCTGCCTAGGCAGGAAAGTTTATACCATTTCAGACAAATGGTTATCCAACATCTTCTTAAAAACCTCCAGTGTTGGAGCGTTCACAACTTCTGGAGGCAAGTTGTTCCACTGATTAACTGTCAGGAAATTTCTCCTCCTCCTATTTGTGGCTGAGGATGAACCAGAATCTCTCCAGCTCTAATCCAGCATTTTAACCACTACATCACACTCTAACTCTTATACCACAATTGTTGTTGTCTTCTGAAAATAAGTGACTGTTTGCAGCCTCAAAAAGCAGCTTTAGCACCAGTTTGTATTTACATATCTAGTGGATATTGAAAGCAATTTATATCAAACTTTTTAAAGGCCTTTCTTTAAAAAAAACTTATTGGACTTTCCAAGATACAGGTTACAATGATGTTTCCAAGACATGGCAAAATAGGAAGAGAGAATAGTTGTCAAAGACTAAGAGTTAACCAATTTGAACTTATGTAGCAGGTTTTGGTCATTACAAATCACATGGATTTTTGAGAATGCACATACCTAATTGCTGCAGCTATTATGCATTAATCTTTAAAAGAGTTACTTGTTTGGTAGCTAGCACAAATAATGATAGCTAAAAGATGATTTAAATTTTGACACCTCCATTTGAAGTAGTTTTCAGTTGAAAAGTCAAGAAGCAGGACTTGGAAATCAGGACTGCTTGAGATTGGGAAGTACTGCCAGCCAGACCAGAGAGTACAGAGTTAGATAAACTAGTGAATCTGATTGAAAATAAAGTTGGCATTTTAAGTCTGATGCTTTATCCGTGAAAAATATGATATATCTATGATCCCAATTAGGATCGGAATTTTGGCTGCTAAGTGATATGTTAAATGAGTCATCACATGATTGGACTCAATTTTATTACCATTTTTATCCTGGTTAAGAAAATCATGTTGTCTGACTTCCCCAATAGATGCTGCTTGTTGAAAACTGCTGGAAAATCACAAATGGTGATCATGTGATAATAGGATCCTGCAACGCTCATGAATGTGAGCTGGCTATAAAGCGTCCAAATTGCAATCATGAGACCAAAAGGATAGTTGACAGTTATAACTTTGAGGACAAATCATTTTTCTTGAGACTGTCATAACTTTGAACTATCTATCATTACATGGTCCTAAGTTGAGGACTACCTGTGTAGCAAGCTGTATGGTCTATAAAGCACTTCTAGCAATTGTAAAATGTCATGCCACAACTGCCTGACATGATCACATTTTGGGTGCTTGACCACAGGCTCGTCTTTAGAACTAGTTGCAGCTCCTGCAGTCACATGATCATGGTTTGTAAGGTTTTTTTTGCTGGTTTATGGCAAAAATACTCATTTGGGAAGAATGGGTTCATATTTGCCGCTGTGGAATTCCCTTCATAACTTTAGATTTGCTTAATGACCACAGTGATTTGCTTAATGATGCCGGATATCATCCAAGCAGAATCACTTACTTGAAGATTGGGCTTGAGAAATAAAGCTTTGGTAGTATTGAGACATAGCATTTATTATAATTTATATTCCCTTAGCTGTAAACATTTTAAAGTTGGGAACTAGGCCTTTACGTTATATTGTGATATTTTTCATATTTTATAAATAGCTTCATAGATCGTTTAATGATAATAACCTGAGAAGAAAGGCAGTTTTTCTTTTCTTTTTTTCTTTTATTTATTTTTTATTAACAAACATGTAAAATACACACACAAAACTTAGACGTACACCACATTTATACAATACAATACGAACAGGGGCTTCCTGTTCTTTCTAATAGCAATTATCAATCGATACCGCTCACCTTATATTATTTCCCCTTCCCCTATTTCGTTTGGATTTCACCATTCTTAACCCTCTTATTTTACTCATATCCATTATTTTTGAGTTTTGTTATATTCCTTCATTGATTCTTGTTTCTTTCCTCTATCCACCTATACCATTTATCCCATATCTGGTAGAATTCTGATTCTTCTTTTCCCTGGATTTCTTTAGTTAGTTTGTCCATTTCAGCACAGTCCATAACCTTTCTTATTATTTCATTTTCGCTTGGAGTTAAATTTGTTTTTCCATTACTGGGCAAAGGCAATCCTTGCCGCCGTAATTATATGTATAAAGAAATACTGGATTTCTTTTTTGTATTTCGCAGACATTATTCCTAATAAAAAAACTTCAGGTTTCCATTCTATTTTAATCCCTGTTATTGCTTCCAGCCAATTTTTGATCTTTTTCCAAAATTTTTTAGCCTCCTCACAGGTCCATCATAAATGGTAATATGTTCCATGTATTGATTCCTGGAGGCAGTTTTTCTTATTGTTCAGCTGATACAGGAGAAGTTAGAAACTCAAAGACAAAGATTTTGATAGGCATATGAAAATATGAGATGAGTAATCTCCATTGATGATTTTTTTTTCCTTTTAGGTAGTCTGGAAAAATTAGATTCTTCATAAAGGGATCACTAATTTAGAACAATGTTTGCAGACTTGGAGTATGACATTGAGGAAGATAAGCTGTAAGTTTTCTTTTTCCCTGTTTCCTGCTAGTAATGTTTGTCTTTGTGTTTGATTTGGGGAGAAGTGGAATTAGAATTGTTTGGAAAGCACACAACAATAATTTCTCAACTGAAAAAAAAGATGCAACAAGAATTCAGAAAAATAGCAAAACACACTCAGAGACTAATAGATTTAGAGCCAAATCAAAATGCCTTAATATTGGCACTTTATTCATTTACAGACCTTTTTCTCCAGTTTGGATTGGGAAAGAGTATTCTGTAGAAGTCAAGTCAAAATATTCAGTATTTCTTTGGTTAAATGACAAAAAAGAAACATGTAACCTAGGCAATTATGGATATAGTTTGCATTAATTTTTCTATTGTTATTAGGTGATTACTCTTTTTCAGCTTTTATTTGATTGAATTTATATTCTCCTGGCAGTCTTATTATATAGATTGTGATTTCAGAATCCAACAGATTTGGAGAGAACTGAGTGAGAAAATAATAAATTACAATAAGAATATAGATATATTCTTATAAGTCAAAATTACAAAATTACAGGAGAAGTTTGTGATAAATGTCTGAAAGTATCATATTTTAATGCCTGCAAGAAAAACAATCAGATTTTATTTTTAAAAAGACAGTAAGTCCTAGAAGTGCAGCAGTAATCTGTGCTGGAAAATAATGGAATGAACTTAATAAATTTGCATCTGGCTTTATGCTGCCATGAAACTAATTTAAAATCTAAGGCGTGCTGGCTGGTAATCTGAGGCTAAAAAATATCAGCAAGAGGCCAGAGTTTAAACATGCAAGACGTTTTGGCTCTCCTATCCCCTTCTCTCCCTCAGGCTCGCCCCATTGATCCTCTCCTATCCCCTTCTCTCCCTCAATCTAACTCCTTAGCATCCAAGTGTTTTTAAGGTGGGGAGGGGGAGTAGAATGTCTAAACTCCCAGCCCGCAGGCTAGATGAGTCACGTGCTGCCCATGTCCATTCCCAAGGGGCAGTTGGAACAGAGTTCTTTTCAGATGGGGAGGGGGAGTCGAATGTCTAACTCCTTAGCATCAGAGTGTGTTAATAATAATATAAGAAACATTAATGAATCTGATGGTCATTTAGAAAAATCCTTTCTTAGTGAGCACCTAGAAGCCAAGATGAACATGTGTGCCAAATTTCAAGTTTGTAGGTTTTACGGTTCTGGAGATTTTGTGATGATGCGTGATATACACACATACATACATACACACACACACACACACACACACACACACACACACACACACATACATATATATATATATATATATATATATATATATATATATATATAATTTAGAGATCACTTATCTCACTCTCAGATTGTATTTCATTGTTGCATTTGTCTTTTTAGTCTAAACCTTGATGTTTAGGAAATAAACATTGACACAATCTCGATTCCAATTATTTATATCTCTGATGTGGTGAAAGCAGAGGCAGTTGGCAGGTATTTGTGTTTTTATCTATTTTAGGGGGATTCCTACAGTACCTGGAACAGTGACCTTGAAGAAAGACTCTCAGAATCTGATTGGAATTAGTATAGGTGGAGGAGCCCAGTATTGCCCCTGCCTGTATATCGTCCAGGTTAGTGTTAGGGAAGAGGAATATATTCTGAGAAAGAAAATAATAATAATAATGAAAATTGCATGCAACATCCTGGAAGCAGAATTTTGATTGTGGGGACATTTTCTAAAGATCCAGTCTTGTAGCCTGTAGCGATAGCAACAACAATAGTAAAAAAAAAAAGCAAAAAGCAAAGAGTGGTGGATTACAGTGCATAAAGCTTATGGGATAATAAATAATTTATTTTTTAATTGATTTATCCATTTATGTGTCAATGAGATAAATTAAACAACAAAGTTGATGTATTTTCTGGTCTGGCTAATTTTTCTTTTTCATAAAAATAAGTATGGCCTGGACTAGAAAGATACTTCAATTTCATTGAATCTTATATGTGAACTCAACATTTAAAAGAAATCCAGCCATGGATGTTAAACAAGAGGGTTTCAATTTAGTCCTAGTTTTGAATGTATTCTAATTTCAAAAGACTATGAACCTCTTCACAAGTGGCAGTAAGATTTCTTTCTGTGTCTAATGAAGTATGATATAGGAAGCTGCCCAAATGGTGAGTGAGCGATGGAAAGTGGAGGAAAAAGCGCCTAGTTTGAAATTTCTGGATTAAAAAATACTTCAGGTCATTTAGCAACTTTTATTATAGAAGAATGGATATCAGATAAACCTTCAGTAAAATGGCATATTTCAACCAAGTAACTCTAGATTTTCTACGGCTTCAGCACCACATGCTATAGATATAAGCATCAAGTGTTTATAAATGTCCTGTCATGATACTTCTGAAAATTAAGGTATTTTTATAAGTAACAAATGTGGAAAGAAAAGTAGCAATTATACATGAAAACTATAGTTCTTTGGCTTCTTTGATCATAGCAATAGCACTTAGACTTATATACGGCTTCACAATGCTTTAGAGCTTTCTCTAAGTGGTTTACAAAGTCAGCATATTGCCCCCAACATTTATGTCCTCGTTTTACCAACCTCAGAAGGATGGAAGACTGAGTCAACCTTGAGCCAGTCAGGATCGAATTCCTGACAGTGGGCAGAGTTAGCCTGCAATTACTGCATTCTAACCACTGCACCACCACGACTCTTCCATCATTACTATGTATTTCTCCTCAGGTATTTGACAATACTCCTGCAGCTCTTGATGGAACGTTGGCAGCTGGTGATGAAATCACAGGCGTGAATGGGAAGTCAGTCAAAGGGAAAACCAAAGTAGAAGTAGCCAAAATGATACAGATAGTGAAGGTGAGAAACTCCAAGGATTGCTGGAATCTAAATTTTGGGTTTTTGCTCATGCAAGTAGTAGTGCCTTTCTCTTACCAACCCATAATATTTGGTTTTGGTCTTCTAGGGAGAAGTGACAATTCATTACAACAAGCTCCAGGCTGATCCAAAGCAGGGAAAAACTTTAGACATTGGTAAGGAAAGACTTTGACTCTCTTTATTTATTTTTAGCCTGTTTTTGTGAAATGCAGGGATTATGCTACATTTTGGAAAATGGTGCTTATGGATTATATGTCTCTTTTCTGGAATGCAGTGTTAAAGAAAGTGAAGCACCGTCTGGTAGAGAACATGAGCTCAGGGACAGCAGATGCCCTAGGACTGAGCCGAGCTATCCTCTGCAATGGTAAGTACTATGCTGAACTTGCATGTTTAAATCAAGATAAACAAAGATATTGTTCACATTTTATATTTGCTTGCCCAGCAGAGGGCTCTCCTATCTTATCCCCTTCTTTCTCTCAGTCTAACTTCTTAGCATCAGAGCATTTATCAGATGGGAAGAGGGAGTAGAATGTCTAAACTCTCAGCCCGCAGTCTGGATGAGTCACGTGCTGCCCATGCCTGTGCCCAAGTGGTAGTTGGAACAGAGTTCTTTTCAGATTGGGAGGGGGAGTAGAGTGTCTAACTCCTTAGCATCAGAACGTGTTAATAATAATAAAAGAAACACTAATGATCTGATGGTCATTTAGAAAAATCCTTTCTTAGCAAACACCTAGAAGCCAAGAGGAACAGAGGTGCCAATTTCAAGTTTGCAGACTTTACGGTTCCTGAGATTTTGTGATGATGCGTGTGGTTTTTTGCTTTTATATATAGAGATTTATCAAATTTAGAGGCCACCTATCTCACTCTCAGATTGTATTTCATTGTTGCATTTGTCTTTTTAGTCTGAACCTCAATGTTTAGGAAATAAATATCTGACACGATCTCAATTCCAATTATTTATATCTCTGTGGTGGTGAAAGCAGGGGTAGTTGGCAGACGTTTGAGTTTTTATCTCTGTTTTAAGGGATTCCTACAGTACCTGGAACAGTGTCCTTGAAGAAAGACAATCATTCCCAAGTGCAGGATGTAAAATAATAGATGTAACATTTTATGCTCTTAAAATAATTTACTTTTGTAATCCACTTCTTTTATTTATTGTTCTAGATGGCTTGGTAAAGCGATTAGAAGAGCTTGAGAGGACTGCAGAACTATATAAAGGTATTGACATTTTTTTTCCTTTGTAGTCTGGAAAAATGTTATCTTAAGCTCATATCAATCATGATTTCTTGGAAGATCAATTGATTTTTAGTAAGTACATTGTACATACAGTACATGAGCAGCCTTTCAGCCCTTAATGACATACATGCAGTGGCAGGTTAGGCCTGCGTGCATCTGGAACATTTGACGAGCAGATGTGGACTGTCTCTCTCACCTCTCTCATCTACAAAGTTGCCTTCTTCAATCCACTGCCTTTTTAAGATAAACTCCCTCTTATGCAAACAAACAGAATGAGATAATTTCCCCACTAGTGACTTACAGCATGTTCAAGAACATTCCAACCATTATTGTGCCAATAATGATCATCAGGACAGACTTTGTATCATTTCAACCATGGCTGATGGTATTGTGAAGCTGTAAAGTCTCCCCCACTCCATTAAAACGCAATAATTGAAAAATAGTAAAACTCCCCTCGTATGCGTTGACATTGCACTGTCTCCCGCTTTCTGCTATCTTGTAAATTAGTGCAATAACAGTTTATGAATTTGAGAGTGAATGTTTCTCAGTAGAAGGAAAGGAGCAGTAGTAGAGAGAAGTAGAGAATATTTGGCAACTACAAGTACCCCTATTTCCACAAAAATAAGACCGGGTCTTATATTAATTTTTGCTCCAAAAGACGCGTTAGGGCTTATTTTCCAGGTAGATCTTATTTTGGGAAAAATACAGTACTAAATGTGTCCGTCTGGCTGAGAATCTTAACTGGGGCTTATTTAGGGGGTAGGGCTTATATTACCAGCATTCTGAAAAAATCATGGTAGGGCTTATTTTCCAGGTGGCTCTTATTTTCAGGAAACAGGATAGATCCTGAGATCAGGATCACAATTGAGTGGTGGAATTACCAATTTGTTTGCTTATATCCTGTTTACCATATAAAAGCACCTTGAAGCATTGTTTTGCTTGATATATTGATAGCATGGCTTCTTATCAGTAAATTTTTCAGCATGGCTTATTTTTAGTCTTGTTGACAAGTTCTTCGGTCTGTAGTTAGAGTTCTTTCCCTAGAGCCACAAGCAGATATCCTGCATTAGATGGAAAGAGTTGATGCTTTTGTGTGGTTTAGTAACTATAGGTCCATTGTGGTGAGCAAACTGTTCCCAGAAGCACAGAATACAACTAGTTAAGAGCAAAGAATGACTTTTGCACTTGGTCAGTACAGCTTTCGCCACTCAGTTACCTCTGCAGGCAATCTCAGAATAAAACCATATCAGTGTTGACTTGTCCCCAACCATATTTTGATTTTGTTTCCTTTTACCAAACATCTGGTTTAATGTTAAAATATAGACTGAAAAGTAACAAAAGTTCCTAGATAAATGAGATTTTAATGAATTAGTATTTTTTTCCCTTCTATTTTGCCTAGGGATGACAGAGCATACAAAGAGTCTCCTCAGAGCCTTCTTTGAACTGTCTCAAACTCACAGAGGTAAATGGATAGAGCATTTGCCAATTATGGCCGTAACCTTTTTAAAAATAGCATAGCAGCTTGTATTGAGATGTTAATGTGTGCCCCACCTCCCCCCCCCCCTTCTGTTCAGTTGTGTCCAATTTTGGAGACTGCCTGGATAAATCCTTGCAGTTTTCTTGACAAGGTTTTTCAGAAGTGGTTTGCCATTGCCTTCTTCCTAGGGCTGAGATAAATTGACTGGCTTTAAGATCACCTAGATGGTTTTGTGCCTAAGGCGGGACTAGAACTCACAGACACCCAGTTTCTAATCCGATTCCGTCAACTTGACTCTGTCTAATTTATTTTTAGCTCATTGTCATTAAAATAATATGCAACTAGCATGCTACAAAATAAAAAGCTAAGTAAGCATGTTATATATTTCCAACATTCTTCTGGGCACTGCTAATGTCGGAGAGGAATTTATAAGAAAAAAACTGATGGGGGTCTGCAGTGGTGTTTAGGAAGTGTACTTGGTTGCCTACAAGAAAAACAGAAGGAAACTTAAGGAAACAGAAAACCTTGCAAAGCACAATCTCAGGTTTATCCCTGGCCATAACCATCATGGCACCAATTTTGTGAGAATGGCCGTAATATTCTTTCCAAATTCCAGATATGGCCACTGGTTTCCAAAATTTGGGCTAGACTATCGGGGTTGCATGCAGGGCTGGTACCAGGTCTGTGTGAGCCATTATCCAGAAAAACCTATTGAAAAATATCTTCTAGCTTACTGACTAGAATGAGATTTAAAATGGGACAGCATAAAGTCTAAATCTAGGCATGTTTGCATTCCGGTGCCCTCCTGAAACCATGTCAGGTTTCAAGTTTCATTATCCTCAGGGTATCAGTCATTCTGAAGTGGTGAAAAAATTGAGCCATGTAGAAAGTACACCTATGATTTTTGACTCCAGTTTCTATTGCATGTTTTTGCTGTATGATGACCAGCATTTGGTGATGTTTTTTCGGTTATTGGTGTACGGGAACCTCAGCCAGCGGCCAGTGAAGCGTTTGTAAAATTTGCTGATGCTCATCGCAGTATTGAGAAATTTGGAATCCATCTTTTAAAAACCATTAAACCAGTAAGAATGTGTGTTTTATCTTTATTATGCTCAAAACAATAATTCTTTATGTTAAAACTGTACACACAGGCTTAAACACTAGATTTTTAATATGTCTATGGAGATTCTCATTTTTTTAAATAAAAACAATTATTAACTGTAATTGATAATTTAAATATGTGTTTGTTGTTTTATTGTAATGGTTGTATGCTCTCTAGAATCACTTCATGTGAGATGGATGGCCATATAAATGTACTAAATAAAATAGATAAAATATCATTTTAGTATGATAATCTAGGTAGGTAACACAATTGTTTGAGAGTTGATATGTTTTATACCACTATGTCTGAGGTTCAGGTAGTACTTGATTTATAGCTTAATTGGCAGAATTAATTAGAATTTCTGTCACTAAGCAATGCAATTGTTAAAGGAATAGTGTCTGATTTCTTGCTCTAGTCGTTAAGCGAATCCAGTTTCCTCCATTGACTTCACTTGTTGGAAGCCCCTTGGGAAAGTCGCCAAGGGTTATCATGTGCCCTTGGGTCACAGCAGCATCATAAATACGTGCCAGTTGCCAAGCTGTCAAATTTTGATTATGTGACTCCAGAGACACTGCAGTAGTTTTAAGCATAAGAACTGTTGTAAGTTGTTTGCTTCAGCACCATGATAACATCAAGCATTTGTTAACCCAATGGTTTTAAGTTTGTAGTCTACCTGTCTAGAATTCCAGTGTAGCACTGTCACTACCCAAAGATATAGATGGGAACCTTTTCCTTAGCAATAGCAATAGCAGTTAGACTTATATACCGCTTCATAGGGATTTCAGCCCTCTCTAAGCGGTTTACAGAGAGTCAGCATATGCCCCCCAACAATCCGGGTCCTCATTTTACCCACCTCGGAAGGATGGAAGGCTGAGTCAACCCTGAGCCGGTGAGATTAGAACCGCTGAACTGCAGATAACAGTCAGCTGAAGTGGCCTGCAGTACTGCACCCTAACCACTGCGGCACCTCGGCTCTTTCCTTCTAAATCAGGGGTGTCAAACTTGATTTCATTGAGGGCCACATCAGGGTTGAGTTTGATCTTGGGGGACCAGGGTGGGTCTGGCCAGGGTGGGCATGGTCAGCATGAGGTCACTTGTGTCAGGGCCACCTATGGTGGCCCGAGAGCTTGCCAGAGAAAATGGGCTCCCGAGCTCTGTTTTTTGCTGAAATGGCCTCCTGCAGTCCTCTGCCAGCAAAAATGGAGCTCTCGGGGAGGGGAGGGGTACAAGTGGCCCTTGCAAGCTTTGTTTTCAGCTGGGATGGCCTCCTGCAATCCTCTGCCAGCAAAAGCAATGCTCAGGAGGGCTGTACATTTTTTGCTCATTTCTGCCCTCCCCAGCCCCCAGGAGCTCTCTGAAAGCCTTCATAAGGCTATGCACGGCCATTTTGGTGAAGTGGCAGGGCTTCAGGAGGCAAAAAAATGCTGTATTCAATGTATAAGATGCACCCAGATTTTCAGCCTTTTTGAGGAAAAAAGGTGCATCTTATACTCTGAAAAATATTGGCTCAGGAATAAGATTGTCATCTACTCTAATGACAAAGTTGATCTATTACTATGCGTCAAATGGCTTAACTACTATGATACTTGATGGAAATATCCCCAAATTATTTACTAGCTAATTTTGGGTGGTGAGCCTTCTCACATACGAAAGCTTGTCTGTTTTATTTTGTTTTATCTTCAGTTTTCACTCCCAGTATTTCCTTACAGATGTTGACTGATTTGAACACCTATCTGAACAAAGCAATTCCTGACACCAGATTAACTATCAAGAAGTATTTGGATGTCAAGTTTGAGTATTTGGTGAGCTGTTTTTTGTTTAATTATTCCTTTAGAAAAAAAAATAAGGGGCTTAAAATGCATATTCTTTGAAAGAGAATTTCAGTCTTTGCTTTGCTTTGAATGTAAACTGATCAAACTTTTCTGCTTTTTAAATTTTGTATGTTGTGGATATAATATATCTAACAATTCAGGATAATGCTGCATTTAATGGAATGGATTGTGGACATTTTATTTTTTCCATTGTTATAACTGGTTCTTCTGTAACTTGTAACACTGCACTTTTTGTTCCCTTTCAGTCGTATTGTCTAAAGGTGAAAGAGATGGATGATGAAGAATACAGCTGCATTGTAAGTACAGAGGTTCTAATTTCTGCTGAGATTCCAGATTTGTTCATAGACATACTCAGATACTTGCTTGATTTCAAAGATTTAAATTTAGGGAAGTTTATTGTGTTCATTCCGTGTTGTTATCAAATGAACCTTCTAGATGCCTCAGTTTTCCCTAACTCTTAAGATGCTTAAGAATTAAGTTTATACCTTACTAGCTGATAACCCGATGTTGCCTGGGTATTTATCTATAGCGGGAAAATGTCCAGTCCAAACGTAATTTCTAATGTTGGATTTTCTCCCTTACCGGGGGGAGCCCCCTTATAAAGTTCTGTGAGGTTGTTACCATGGCGACTCCACTGCGCTGTACAGTAGAAGCCATTTTATGGCAGTACAGTACAAGCCATTTTAAGACACAATAGGCTGTATCTTAACAGAACATATACCCCAAGGGTTGTTAGGGGTGTCTTACCCCTACAGTATTTTTTTCCAGAAAGTAAATCATCTGTGTACCAAGTTTAGTTGAAATTGCTGAGACATTCCAGAGTTATGCTGGAACGCGCACGCACACACACAACAGACAGACAGACAGATAGATAGATTTCAATTTTTCAACTGAGATTGATAATGTTTTATGTCAGCTATCATTTTCATCTGGCATGCTCCAAGGACAGCATTTCCACCCTGACACCTTCCAGAAACGATGGACCAGATTGGAATTTTGAGTGCACAATCTTAGATTGTTTCGCTTGCGTTGCACAATCATAGATTGTTTAAGTATTAATGAGTTCCACTGAAGAGAGGCCAAATGTTTGATTGTCACTGCAGAGAAGATGGATAGATAATATCCCAGTGGACTCAATACAGAGAAGTGTTTTGTGGCTTTTGTTACTCATAATGACAATTATGATCTCCAGCACATCATCCTTTCTCAGCCTTAGATGGAAAGGCCAAATCATCTGATAAGCATCTGGCGGGGCCGTTATTTTTATTTGAGCAAAAAGAAAAGCTTTCTAAAGTTGAAATCTTGAGAACCAGATTCATAGCAGATTTTTCTCTTTTTTTACTGAAAAGGCATATGGTAAGAAACTTTATAGCTAATGCAAATTACATGAAATTATTATGAAATAATTAGCTATAAAATTGTAGCTAATGCAAATTACAGAGGTTAAAGTTTCAGTTTTAAAGATCAAGATTAAAGTGTGGAGCAAATAGCTCCAGGGAGCGTTGAGCATATTCTGTCAATATTGATTTGCATTAAAGTTGCTGTTAATTATGGGATATATTCACCATTAATTTGGACTGGAAAAACTGACAACCTTTCTGATTTGTCCCTTGATCTCACTTACCATGTGATGACCTTGTGATGAGTTTCTGTTTCCTTAAATGTTGGTTTTCTTGCCCTCGGGGTTCTAGGCGTCTGCTCCTTTAGCAAAAGATGCTTTAATGTCTGACTTTTGGCCAAGTAAAGATGTAGCAGCATCATGTGAGGAGTTCACAGTTTGCTAGGGTGCATGAAAGAAGCTTTAATACATACATGAGATGTTGCTCAATCTACCCCGTCGGTTGTTATAGTAACACTATTTTTGTTAGGCCATGGGAGAGCCTCTCTACCGGGTTGGAACTGGGAACTATGAATATCGCTTAATCCTGCGCTGCCGCCAGGAGGCACGTTCACGTTTTGCCAAAATGAGGAAGGATGTGCTAGAAAAGATGGAGCTGCTAGACCAGAAACATGGTAAGTGTGGTTGCTTTTTGTTTAGATCCAACTCACCTCCCAAAATGTTGAGGGACCCAGATCTGCAGATGAAAACTATCAAGCTCCTTAGAAATAAGAATATTTCTAAGATGAAAAATATATATATGAAAGAGCCCTGAAAGAGCCAAAATAGCACCTTACCCACTTATAAAGTGCTTGATTATTGTCATGCATAAGCCTGGAGTGGGCTTGGAGTGTCAAACTCAAGGCCTAGGGGTCGGAATTGACCTGTGGGATGCTTAGATCTGGCTCCCGGGGCCGCCTCAGAAACAGCAAAGGACAGCCCACAATGTCTCTGCCAGGCGGCCCTCCCAACCTCCATTTACACTGGCAGAGGGTTGCAGGAGACTATCGCAGCCAAAAACGGAGCCCTGGAGCCTGTTTTCACTGGCAGAGCACTTGGGCCACCACAGGCACCCCCAACACGATTGATGTCAAGCTGGCCACTCCCATCCGGGCTTCCCAAGGTCAAACACAACCCTGATGCAGCCCTCAATGAAATTGAGTTTGACATCCCCGACCTGGGCTATAAGCTTAGGGGTAAGGTGTATTTTTGTTCCTTTTTGTTCAATGATTTCTCTCCTTTGCAGTGCAAGATATTGTATTCCAACTCCAGCGTTTTGTGTCCACGCTTTCCAACTACTATGATGATTGTTATGCTGTGCTAAGAGAAGCAGATGTTTTCCCAATAGAGGTGGACCTTGCACGTACCACATTGAGTTACGGCCAAAAGGATGTCTTCACGGATGGAGCAGACGATGAGGAGGAAGAGGAAGGCTGTGGAAGTAGAGAATGCAATAAAAAAGAGGAAGAAAATGGAGAGAAACTCATTGATGATGCCTGAATTTCTAAATCCTGTCATAAATCCCGTCAGAGACTGATAAATTTTATTTCTCTAGGCAGCTTGTCCAGTGACTCTTCTGTTTGTACAAGGCCAACTAGGGAATCAAGATTCTGTGTTGAATGGGAGCATTTGGGTAATGAAGTATGCAAAATCTTGCGGGGAGGGGAAATCTCTCTTTTTCCGTTTGTGCTTTTCTCGAAATCTCATGGACCTCCTCCAGACCTGGTTGGACTGAAATTACCTTTAAGCAGCCTTCAACCATCTCCCCAATATGGCTTCCTGTGTAGATGGACTGTGATTAAATATACAGCTCTTTCTTTTCCTCTCAGTCTCCCTCTCTCTTTCTATTTCTTTTTTCTTTCAGTAGCTGAGTATCTCATGTAAAAATGCTGAACACCTTTGGTTTCCTGGGGTTTTCTTTTTCCATCACTTTTCTGTCATTTTTAATATTGAATGATATTACTGCCCTTGGGGAAATTTAGTGTTAAAATGTTGACTTCTCTGCATTGCCAAGGCCCTTAAAAGGGAGACATAAAGATTATTGCAGTTAACAGTAAGTCCACCATTTTAAGACTTAAGTTCTTAATTCATACAATTCACCATCTACACATTTTTCCCCTTTTGAATGTTGTCTTTGTGGAGAGAGAGACTTATGTTTGTCCCCCTAGCACTCCTTTCCCACTCATTAATCGTCAATTTGGCAGCTTTAGAAATGAGAATGATAAACTTTCAAAGGAAATGGGGAGAATTACTAATATTACTCTCGCTTTTTTTTTCTTGAATAAGTGCAATATTCAGACGTGATCTAAAAACAAAATTACAAACACTAGGCCAGAAATAAAATCAAAAAGAATAAAATTGTCTGCAATAATATTTATACCAATGGGGACAACCTATCAGGAATCACTGATAGAACATGTTACATGATGGCTAATAATGTGAAAGTTTGACAAATGCCACTAATACGCTGTGAAGAAGTCTCCCCATCCTATATCACAGTTTCCATAAGCTGCCACCCTCCAGTTGCAAGTCCCATCACCCACAAAGTAACAAAGTTGAGGAATGCTGCTCAAAGTTTTGTTGAGTTTTCAAATAAAATAGTTTAATTATAAAGTATTGCCTTTGAGAAGAAAGGGCCTTTGTTCCTCCTTAAATTGGTGTAGTTGGTGCCAATTGGCAAGAAGAAAAACTATATGAGTATTATGACGAACATGTTTCCCTGTGGTTTTGGTTTTTGCTTCCTGTCCTCTATCCCTCTCTCTCCCCCCTCCTCCCTCCCCCCCCTCACACACACACACACACAAACACACACACCAAAAGAAAGCCAAGCTAGGGTCAAAATAATCTCTGGGATTTTACATGTCAAACAGAGTGACTAACAAAGAGAAATCTTAGGGGTGACATGATAGCTGTCTTCCAATACTTGAAGGGTTGTCACATGGAAGAAGGTATCTTTATTTTCCAAATCATCTGAGGGTTGGACAAGAAACAATGGGCGGAAGCTTATCCCCACCTGAGAAATCTCCTTACAGAACAATTAAAACAATGGAGCAGTTTACCTCCTGAATTTGTGGTGGCTCCATCGCTGGAGGTTTTCAAGAAAAGATTGGCCAGCCATTTGTCCAGATTGGAATAAGGACTCCTGCTTTGACAAAGAGGTTGGATTAAGATACCTCCAAGGTCCTAGCTAGCCCCATAATTCGATTTGACTCGATTCCACTTGATTCTTATTCTCTAATAAGAATATGAAGTTTCTGTTTTTTTTCCTTCCAACTTAAGCTTTAGGTTTGGGTCTCCTTAATCCTTCTGTTTACACCATAGTAGAAAAAAAATTGAATAATGGAAGAATCAAATTCCTTCCAGATTGCAGAAGTCATTTGGTTCCAAAAGGGAAACGCTTCCAAAATGTCCCTAAAAACCAAACCCACAGACAACCACAGGTGGACTTTCTTATATCATTTTGATCAGCAACTCCTCTCAAATGTGCTAGAAATGAGAAAATAAGTTGTATTGATAGGCACCTGTCAGGTGTGAACAACCAGACCCACACTTCAAGCTACTTTATTGTTCTATGTCTATTCCAGAGGAATGCTCAGTTGGTAGCTTTCACCTGGGAAAGACTAGATAAGACTCAAAGTCATTCAGGAGGGGGTCAGACCTTATTCTCTTGTGTTTACGTAATGATTCCAAACTAATTTCTTGCTTGACCCCTTCTCCAGACGGGGACAGTTGTTCTCCATCAGTACCCCATTGAATATTTCAATGTTGGATAAGGCTATCGGTAGCTATGGTGTCATATACTATAAGCTATTATAGGAACTTTCCCAATTGAATTTCTCTCCTGGATCCACATCAAATGTGGCATAGGTGAATTCACTACAATACACCTACAAATAAGGCTGTCTGCTTTGTGTGCAAAATTATTGCAGGAAAAAACGGCCATCAGAACAGATAAGTTTCTGTGCCTGTTGTCTTGTTTGAAACGAAAGTTACTCTCTGGAGTTCTGGGCTCATCTCACATATACAGCCTAAAGTACTCCTAATCTGTTGGACTACAGCTCTATCCTATTCCAACCACATTGGCATTATGATAAGAGACAGCACATTTTGTAAGATTAACATTGACTGTTCAGAATATATGGAAATACAGTTCCGTTTAGATTAAATGTTACGGATAGTCATAAAGTCATGTGGAAACTTCTTGAACTTGTAACCTGCCTGAGTAGAACAATATTACTGGCTTAAAATATTCCGTGCTCTGCCATCTTACCTCTTCCTTTTTGCCTGATTTTTCCTTTAACATTTCCCATTGTATCACCTCCCAGAAGGGGGAGACATCTGGCAAACAAACTCTCTCACCCACCCACCCCCAGCCTTATTTGAACTGAAACCCTACATTGATTTTGCTGTCCTGTGGGAAGAACTGAGCTACAGATCACAAAAACTCATGCATACTTTTAATGAAATGTCTTAATTGGAAAATATGCTATCAGACTCTCCACGATTATTATTTTTTTGCAAACCAAACGAGCTGATCTACAACATCTGCAATCATTAAAAGCATCTTAAATCCAAACTATTTTAAAAATGAAACCTTTAAAAAAATCTGTTGCCTTCCAAATTCACATCTAGAAAGCCCTAGAGATCTCAGTCTAGTCAATCTATGACACCTAGACTAAGGCAGCTGAGACTGTTTCTCTGTGTGTGTGCATGCCTGTGTGTGTATCCATACATGCATACAATAACATACACAATACATGAACAACACATAGATCAGAGAAGGTTTATTTTTAAAAAAATATTCCTTCTAGTTATGTATAGACTTTTAAAGATTCCAAGACTATTTGTTCCAGCAGAATGCAAGAAAACATACAAAACTGGGTCTGTTAATAAGATAAAAAGTTATGGCATGTTTTTACTTTTAGTCATATACTGGCCACATATGCTTACAGTTTTACAACTCTGAAAATATATTAGGCATACAAGTCTTATGATCTCTGTTGTGAGCAATAAATACGAGTATTTACTTTGGCTTTAAATTTCTGTGCCCACAAGTCCTGCATCATATTGTCAATTAGGATCTAGATAGCAACAGCACTTAGGCTTATATACCGCTTCACAGTGCTTTTACAGCCCTCTCTAAGCGGTTTACAGAGTCAGCATATTGCCTCCAACAATCTGGATCCTCGTTTTACCCACCTCGGAAATTAACCTTGACCCTGGTGAGATTCAAACTGCCAAATTGCAGGCTGCCATCAGAAGTAGCCTGCAGTACTGCATTCTAACCACTGCACCACTGTTGCTCTATGATTTCTTAGTTTCTAGTACCAAATTGTTCCCACAAAGGACAGTCACTTGCAGTCTATGGCTTGAGTCATAGCATAAATTATCTGATATACCATTTGCAACGGGCATACAAAAATTCTAATTTCCATAGCACCATCATGCTAGCTCTATTTAAGGCAAAACTAAAATTGTTTCTAATTTCTTGTCATGTTTATCGAAGAGGTTTATTCTGAAATTTATAGAATCTGGCCAACACATCTGTCATCTAATACTAATTTAGAATGGATAAAAGCTTCTAGTTTTGACCAATTATCTACTTACTATCAGTAACAAGAATATGATATTTGGCCACACTTTAAAAATGCCTGCTTGCCAGTTTGTAACATTATTCCTTCTTCAATCCCAGCTACAAGGATTCTTCTGTTCTACATTTTTGATATTATAATTAAACACATGTTCAAGCTAGAATAATCACGTTTAAGTTTTGCTGAACACCAGGACTGTAGAGGTAGATGGATAAAGAAGTGATATTAAATTAGCAGCCAACAGATCACTAAAACTAATGTGGGTGTAACGTAATGTAAGTGCTGATATATGTATGAGTGCAAACTCATATAATATTGAAGAGATTTATACAATTTGTTGTTCATGGCAGAGGTATGCTATGGTTTGGATTCCATAACTTTTGTTTATAGTACCATTCTGACTATATGTATCTTTTTTTTTTTTTAAAGCTTCTCCCTGGATCCTCACCCTGCCCGTCATACCATTCAAGAATTTATTCTTTCCATATCCTCCTCCTTGAGTAAATCAGATCCCATGTGTTGATGTCACTGGACCTTTGGATGTTTTTGGTTTGTTTTTGGCTCTCTATGTTGCTAAAACTCTTTCCTCTAGCTGATCAGAACTGCAACCATCTGGAACCATAGTTATATTCTCCCCTTTGGGGTGTCCACCATTTTTGTCCATTGCAGAATGATTCCCGCTGTCACTTCCAACACTGTCAGTGCTGTGGGCCAGAGACTGATCATTGTCGAGGCTTTCTTTTGCTTCCTGTAGATCGGCTTCTGCTTCTTCCGTTTCACAGTTACTTCTAACTATCGATGGATTCTCTAGCTGAGGCGTAGTTTCTTTCTTCACATCCAAGCAGCAGTACGAAGCAACAGCCAGGAAGAGAGCAGACAAGACCACTTCTGAGCCAGCCAGATAGAATATAATTTCATATTTCTTGAGTGCGTCTACCAGTAGCCCTGCGATTTTGAAACAAAGCATAGCATAGTTGCGTTGTAATCTGTTCCCACAGTTTCATACGGAGGTGCTTAGACATGCAGCTTGTAAGTTTGCAGGTTTTGTAAACGTAGAACTTCAATTAGGCCTCTATTTAGTATGAATTCCAAACATACATATAAATACATTTTCATACATCCCCCTTTTCATTCACAGAATTACTGAGGGCTGCACTAGAATCACTATGGAAGAGATAAACACAGTATTTCTGTAACATGGAGATTTATTTGTTTATTTGTATCCTGCCTTGATTATTTTTACAAATAATTCAAGGCAATGAACATAGCCAACACACCTTCCTCCTCCTGTTTTCTCTACAACAACTCTGTGAGGTGGATTGGACTGAGAGAGAATGACTGGCCCAAAATAACCCAGCTAGTTTTCACAGCTAAGGCAGAACTTGAACTCGCAGCTTCCGCTTTCTACTCTGGCCTATAAATCTTAATAAATGACTAAAAAAAAAAATGGTGCCTTAAATATTAGACCAAGCTGGCTCTCCCATTAGACCCTGTATTTCAAAATGCTGTTGACCTCAAGTATCCATGAACATTAACCTGATCAACTAATGGCAGCTGGATGGGCATTCCACACACATTCCCCGTCACTTATTTATTACAGTATAACCTTAGAGACAGAACATGATAAAGTAAATCAAAGAGCAGATAGATGTTGTGGCTGGAAGACCTTTGGCACAACTTTGCATTGTGTCTCTTTTGCCTGTTCCTGGCTCAGGAAGTTCAGTCACTTCCTGAGTGACTACTATAATGCATTTTACCTGGGGCTGCCCTCAGCAAGTATCAGCTGATACAAAGCAGAGCACTGCAGAACAGTTATGCGTATGCCTAGAGTGGCACATGCCATGCCTTTGCTCTGCAAACTGCGTTGGTTGACAATTTGTTTTCAGGTCCAATTCAAAGTGTGGGCTTTGACCTCTGCCTTATTTGAGGGCCACCTCCACCCAGTGACATCTGCCCATCTCATTAGGTCTGGCAGAAGAAGCATGCTGCAGATGAGGTTTACAGAGTCAGCTTATTGCCCCCAACCATTTGGCTCCTCATTTTACCCACCTCAGGTGGATGGAAGGCTGAGCCAACCTTGAGCCTGGTGAGATTCGAACTCCCAAATTGCAGGCAACCGGCAGTCAGCAGAAGCAGCCTGCAGAACTGCACTCTAATCGCTGCACCCCCGCAGTTTGTGAGAAACAGAATAAATAAATAGGACTAAGCCTGAATATGGCCTACCTCAAAGGAAGCTCTACACAAGAAAGGTAGTTAGACTTACCTGCGGAAGGTGGCCCAATGAGCACAGCAATGGCCTCAATGAGCAAGTTAAGCCCAATTGCACTGGAGAATTTCTGTGACCCAACAATAGTCATGAGCACTTCAAACTGCAGAGCTCCCACCATGCCATAGGAAATGCCAAAGAAGATGCAGAAGATGACAAGGGATGTGTACGTGTTGGCCCTGGCACTACAGATATCTGTCAGGCCATTGAAGAGCATGGCAAAACTGAACAAGTAGGTTATGTGGGGTCGTATCCTCTTCATCCCAGCAAACAACCCACAGGATGGACGGGCAAAAATATCTACGAAGCCAATGATGGACAAAAGAAACGCCGCCTCTTTGTCAGGTATTCCTGTGTCTTTGGCATAGTTGACTAATAGAATTGTGGGCACAAAGAGGCCCAGAACCATGATGAACTTGGCGATGGTGTAAATGATAAAACCCCGGATTTTGAAGATCGAAAAATTTAATAAGCTTTTCGCTTTCTTGGCCTTTTTCTTCTTGAGTTCCTTGGGTTTCTTAACATTGTCCAGGGTGCCGTCCACCTCTTCTGCTCTTCCTCCCATTGGCAGCATCTCTTTAGTTTCATAAGTGTCCGTGACTTTCTCCCTTGTCTTCTTCATGCTAACTGCCAAGGGTCTCATGAGTGCCCCACATGTGCAGCAGTTCAGGAGGAGCCCCCCCATGATGAGGAATCCCCCTCGCCAGCCAAACTTTTCCAGCAGGACTTGTCCCAGTGGAGAAAGTGCTGAGAGGAAGACCGGGCTCCCAGCTGCAGCTAGCCCATTGGCCAGGGGCCTGCGCTTGTCGAAGTAGGATCCCAACATTATCAAAGAAGGCTGGAAATTCAAAGCCATCCCTAAACCTGGAAAAAAAAATTACAAGAGGAACAATCAATGGAAAGACATCAGCTCTCAAGTCTCAACTGATGCAAATGTTTCAGGGTCCCTATATTTGAAGGAGATATTCCCCCCCCCCCAAATATGCTATTTAATTTAACTTCATTAAAGTTGCTCTTCAACACAAGTAATAAAAAACTACAGGTTTTTTTTAAACTTGACTTACAACCATAATTGAGCCCAAAATTTTTGTTGCTAAATGAGACATTTGTTAAGTAAATTTTGCATCATTTCATGACCTTTTTGGCCACCATGGTTAGGTGAATCACTGCAGTTAAGTTACTAATATGGTTGTTAAGTGAATCTGGATTTCCCGTCGACTTCGCTTGTCAGACGGTTGTAAAAGGGGACCACGTGACCTCGGGACACAGCAACCATCATAAATATGAGTCGGTTGCCAAGCATCTGAATTTTGAGCATGTGACCTTGGGGATGCTGCAGCGGTTATAAGTGTGAAAACGGTCATAAGTCCCTTTTTTGCAGTGCCATTGCAATTTTGATGGTCACTAAATGAATTGCTGTAAGTCAAGGACTGTATAGCCCAGTGTATGTTGCTGAATTACAATTCTCAGAATCATTTCCCACTGGTTATACTGGGTCTTCTGAGAACTGTATATTAGAAATATCTTGGGAACCCTAAGTCCCTATAACTGTTTTCCACCCTTATTTAAAGCAATTTCTCCTTACAATCAATAGAGACATATATGAGCTTCTCTCAAACATCGGATCTGAAGGGTAAACATGAAAGCTACATTAGATGGCAGTGATGGCTAACCTTTTTCTAAAGGTGTGCCAAAATTGTGTGTATGTGCCCACCCACCTGCACGTGAGTTTTCACCCTCCCCAGCCTCCGGAAGCTTTTCTGAAGCCTGGGGAGGGGGAGCCTCCCTGGCCTTCTGTTTTCGCCTCCCCAGGATTCAGAAAAGCTTCCGGAGGCTGGGGAGGGTGAAAAACAGGCCCAACTGCCCAACTGGAAGTTCAGGAACGAACTTCCTGTTCGCCCATTGGGCTCCAGAGGCTTTCCTGAAGCCTGGGGAGGGCGAAAACTGTCTCCCCCGGCCCTCCAGAAGGCTGAAAATCAGCTGGCCAGCACGTGCATGCATGCCAGAGCTGAGGGTTGCCGTGGTGGCAAATATGGCTCCCCGTGCCATAGGTTTGCCATGACAGTTATATAGCATACATCATCCTGGCAATATTTCAATAATGTCATGTTACCTATCATTTTCTGAAGTAGACTTGCACAAGGGGGGTTCTTTTCCACTTTGCAAACACTCACCTGTCAGCACTCCAGCAGACAAATACAGTTCAATGATGTTGGTGGTGAAGGAGGCCAGGATCATTCCAGAGGAAGCCAGGAGCCCCCCAACAAGCATCACAGGCCGACACCCAAACTGGTTCACCATAATGCTGCTCAAAGGTCCTGCAGGGCATCCCAGAAATCAGAAAAGGGGCAAGACCAGAATAATATGAAAGGAAGGCAAAACCGCAGCAATTTCCTAATCCCAAACAACAGATGATCTTAAGGTGGCCTGGATTTGTTGAGTAGTGAAGGTACCGTTGCCTTTTCATGGTTTTTGTGAAGATTGGGAAATTTAAGCTTTGCATATGTGGTGTCAGGAGCGAGGGGGAATGCCATAAATGTGGAACAGATAGATATTTTTGCTTTCATGATTAGCAATGATTGTGGCTAAAAGTTTTCCCCAATCAGGTGCTGCTAGATTGATTCTAAGTCCCAGCCGCCTGGGCACTGCAAACTTTGCATTATTGAAGGTCACTCAGTTCAGGAAGAGTGAAAAACTGCAAGCTTTAAAATGTTTAAGACATTTTGGAGAACTGCAAAAGTGTCTAGGTTGTTATAGAGCTTCCTGGAATGTTAGATGATATCTTATCCATCTTATTGGGTATATTTAAAGCAGTGACGTGCAGTCAGGGGAGGCAGGGCCTCACCACTGTCATCATGAAAAGAAAAGAAAAAATTAAAAGGAAAAAGGCTGAGGTAGTTGCTGCCAGAGTCACAGTGGATGACTCTGCTTAATGCTTAACTGTTTAAAAAAGCCTCTAAAAAAAGTGCCCTCCGCAGGAGGAGGCGAGAGAATCATGTGCCTCCTTTAGTCTATGTTTATGATCACTTGAGCAGAGTTAAGCAAGGGTTAAAAGGCGAAAAATTCCTTATGTAGAGGAGGCACGTGGTTCTCCTGCCTCCTCCTGTAGAGGGCAGTTTTTTAGAGGCTTTTTTAAACAGTTAAGCATAGTTATCCATTGGG